CTGTTGAAACTAACTGTGCTTTTTATGTCTAGTGCTCCTGCCCGTGATCCCACCGTGTCGTCCAAAGGAAATAACACCTCAGCTCTGATCACCTGCCTGTCTGCCTCCAACGCCTCAGGAACTCACCTATTCACCTTGGATCAACTCAACCTGGAAATAAAAAGAAAACAACTCACCTCCGTGGATTCTCACCTTCTCCTCTGTGCCGCTCCTCCCTCATCGACCTGTAAGAAAATAGATCCTTATCATTATTACAAGATCTCTTCTCCCATCAAACAAATACTCACCGGCTGTCCTTCCTTTGCAGCTTCTCCAGTTCACACCCCGACCCGCACTGTAAATAAAATCACTTACCTTTTGTATCTGGTCTCCCGAGTCTGTTTTGCTCCAAACCTGTTCACTTTTGACTTCTCGCAAACCTGACATGGGGAAGGAGATGAGGCGTGGAGGAGTTGGTCCACAACAGGTGAGGATCCAGAGGTGAGTATTTACAGGTGAGTAGATATTTACAGCGATAAGTGGGAGGCAGCACATGAAATTCTGGTGAGAGGCTCTGAGTCCAAAACGGCTGGCAAAAACGTGCTGGAAATCGCTTTCTGCAAACAGGTTAATACAAAAACACACAGGTAATACAAAAACTCTTGGAGAGAATAAGAAGCAGCAGGCTGAGCTCATACCAAACATGAGGCGATGCTTCAGCGATGAGATGATCTTCAGCACTGCCTTAAGAAGCCTGGAGGTGATGAGCCAAATCACATGCAGATGTGGGTAATCAGCGCTGCACCCAATCATGGAGGCAGGGGGTGGAAACACGAAAATGCCTCAGCTACGGAGGCATTCAGTTTTATCGCCTTTCACTTAAGACTTATCAAATACACAATCCAATAGCTCCAAAACAATTTTGCAAACAATTTGTGATCGGCACAATTTACCAGAGCCTAATGTCTGATGCTAAAGTTAGCTCGTTCATTTCAAGATAGCATAAACTTTACCTGGTGCTACGGTCATGTTAGATGTGTTGCATCCTCTGTATTATTACATAGAATAATATGCTGCTGCACCACAAACATATGTCTCTGCACCAGTGTTGCCAGAAGAGAAAAGCTGAATTATCGTATTTTGAGAAAAATTATTGTACACACCCAATTTGTATTCTAGAGAGGCTCAGAATTATAATCCCTCCTGCCACAGCACACACATGCTCTGTGTTTGTAAAACTGCATGTTCTCTTTTCTTATAATAAATAAAAATAAAACACTGTATCTAACTGTTCAGTAAGGACAGTAGCAATTTGATCTCTATTTTTCCCTTTTTTTAACTAAAGCAGGGTTTTTGCTGCACATAAAAATAAATTTTAGATAAAATGACAATAATAAAATGTAAACAATAATATAATTCAAAAATCGGGAAGAGAACAGGTCATTGTAGTTTATTGTGAGTATAGTAGTAGCACTGGTACTACTATATTCATCGTTGCTGCTAATAACTGGCATCATAACCATAACATGTGTGAAGGGCACACTGGAGGGGGAGTCTGGGTTTTAAATGAAGTAGGTGCTGTTTCCTGCATTCTGGTGTATTTTAACAGGTTGCTATACATATTTCTACATACATAAATAAACAATTAATTTCACAACTATTTTAGTGAAAGATTCTTCATTTAGTTCATCTATGAATCATCTTGTTTTCAAACTCACATGGCGGAGATAAAGAAATTATTGTGACAAATGATCACAAACGAGTTTAGAGTTCCATTCAACTTTTATTTTGTTTATTCTTGATTAAATTTTATGTGTAACACATGGAATGTACCGCTATGATGACACTCAACTACATGTTTAAAAATAAGAAAATTAATTTTACCCGCTCACCTCTCTTTTTCTATTTTTTGGTTTGGGAGGGGCCGTCATAAGGCCGGTTCTCATTGGAGGAAATACCATTGGTAGGTCAGGGATTAGGTTTAGGACCAAGGTGTGAATTGAGTTTAGGTTAGTTTTAGGGTCAGGTAGGTACTGGGGTGGTTAGGTTTAGGGCTTGTGGTCAGGGTTAGGTTGTAGTAATTACCAGTAGAGTTAATACAAAGTCCCCATGAGGATAGAAAAATAAACGTGTGTGGCCCCTGCCCGCCCCTCACGGAGCCATCAGACGCTCCAATCACACTGCAGTTCCATCACATCCACTTCTCCTCCTCAGACTGGCTGTTTGTTCACACAGCCCACTGAACCAGCACAGAGCAGACTCCTTTCATTCTCCCTCTCTGCATCCAGCTGCTGATCGAGCCTCTGCTCCTCACTGCTCCTCTCTGATGGCTCTGTGGGTTTTACTCCTCTGCTCTTTGTTCGGAGTCCTCCTCGCTCAAGGTAAGGTTTGGAGGCTGTGCGAGTTTTAATTAGGACAAACTGGAGAAATTGGGCTGGTGCAGATGTCTGAAACTGATGTGGGTGAACAAAATATTGCTTCATAGACTCACGACGTGAATCAAAGAGTTTAATCAGAGGGAAACTTGAGGAAGTGGTGACTCATCTGAGGACTAGTTGGGACATGATTAAAGCAGTTTATTCAGCTGGGTGCTTCAAAGAGCTGCAGTTTTATTTGGGGATGATGTTTTGGGAAACACCTCAGGTGTTTTGTTACATGCAATTTAATAGTACTAAGTGCCGAGACTGAAATGACACCATCCAACAATAAAAGGACAGATAGAAACACTGACTTTGTCACCATTCAGGTTTATTTCATAGCTTTGATTTTTATTGTCTCCATATTGGGTTAAAGTGTTGAAATCAACTTCAGGAGTTGTGAAGTCAGCTGTTTCTTCTTCCTGCCCTGCATGTCAAAGGACGTGTTGTCAAAAAAAAAAAAAAAAGCGATTTTCACCAGGGAGGTCCAGACATATAGGTGTGATTTAGGTTTGAGCACCCACAGCAGGGCCCCTAAAGAGGGACCTGATTCTACACGGAGCATGTGTTGGTGGTGATGTGTGTGTGGGTGGGTCGGGGGTTGCTTTCGGGTTGTGTCACAGGTACAGTTTTTTTTCTTGGCTTCTGCTGCCCTTGAGTCATATATTTCCATTATTATATTTATTTAAGGTAATTTATTCAGTTTTAAAACTGAGGCCTCGTGGATCAAATAGTCCCAAGGGCAGCAGGAGGATTAATTAACAAGTGAGCAAGAGAATAACCTCAACCTTGCCTGCACTGACACAAACATCTAAATATTTGGCATTTAGACCAGGGATGGACAACTGAAATGGTGGAAGCAGCCACAATTTGGATGGAATGTAACAGTTGGTGCTAAAGTTTTAAACAAAGATCTCATGCAACGAATAGCAATATGCTGTTATTAACAATTCAGCTACAACCACGCCACAGTTCAGAGCTTCATTTTTTTTATTTTGTAAGGTCATTTGGCTGTGGCGCCCATCTTGAATTGTTAGTCAAAAAGTTAGTCAGCTGTAGAGGTATAACCTGCTATCTGCAGTTTTTCCTATGATTTGCCCACTGGTTTATGAGATAGGTTGTTAACGGACAGACATAAACATAGGCAAAAAATATTGTCCACCTTCTCCTTTTGACAGCAGGTGATAAAGTCTTGAATAAACCTTGGAAAAAGATGCACTCCTCTGCTGGGATGTCTGGTGCGGGCCAACTGCTTCAGTAAGTTCGCTCAGCTTTGTTTACATGAGGAGTCTAGACGCAGGCAAAGACACGTGCTGCTCCGCTGAGACAGAATGGCCCTCACCAGCAGCAGCTTCATCCAAACCGAGCCTTCTCAGCCAACACGGTGACTCACAGAGACAGGGAGAGTGGAAGCCAGAGCAGGGCTGTGCCTGCTTTACTTCTTCTGATAAAACACACGAGGTTGCACAGTTTTATGCCTGTCTGTTCTTTCAGTTAAGGCCTCCAGAGCAGCAGACAGTGGTGCAGGCCTCTGTCATGCTTTATCAGCACCAAGCTGCTGCTAAAGGACACAAAGCAGGTTGAGAATGTGATCAAATATTGGCGCTATGAAGAAATAAGCAATCATTGCTTTGGTGAAAAAGACAATTATTTAAAATTTGGTAGAGCTGGGCGATATGATCAAAATTTTATATCACGGTATTTTCAACATTTTCACCGGTTTCACGGTATTTGATGGTATTTTTCTTTTCATCACAGCTCAGCTGATAATAAAATGTACAAACCCTGCTTATTGACGTTTTTTTTCTTTTACTGTACCTCTGTCTGTGTCTCTGTTTCCCTCCTCTGTGTCTGTTCTTCTCTGACTGGTGGTTGCAGACAGTAGTCATGCATTTTGGTCCAGTCGTGAAGG